CCACAGTCTAAGCAGGGTAGCTCTAGGAATGGCTGCACAAGCTCTACGAATGCGGTCCATAAAATCACTTTTGTGGTTGGTCGTTCAGCAAAAACAACATTTTTATAATTATTGACCGATAATCAAGCACCCTAAAGGAAACAGAACTTACTATGTCCACGTCGTTGTTTCCGGATAACGCTAAAAGTAAGATAAAAGTGCTTTTGACCTTGATATGACCTTCAAAAGGTCAGGTCGAAAAACTAAAAAATCCCTATGCTCATGTAAAAAGTGCCATTGTTTAAGAGCTCATTGTCAAGAAACAGGTTCAGCGGTCAAAAATAGGGTTTACTAATCAAAAAATGCGTTATGAGCCTCAAACAACCTTGAAAATTGACCTCAAGGTCAAGCTAGTCAAAGTGATTTACACTTTTACAATTTATTGACTTTGTTTAAGCATCATGCACATTTGTGTTACCCAAAAACCACGTCATTTCAGAAAAACTACACCAGATCGTTTTTCAGGCATTTCACCTTCATTTTTGACCTTTCCAAGGTCGCAAAACAATTTTTTATAAGACAAGTTTGTTGTAAAATTTTCCGCTCTTTCGAAACCCGCAGTCAAAAATAGGGTGTCTCATTTAAAAAAACCATCGTGACCTTGAAATAACCTTCAAAATTGACCTCAAGGTCAAAACCAATGGTACAATTAAATGACCCCCTCTGTCCTGGTCAACTTTTATCTAAACCATTTTTTTGTAGATACCGTAATTTGGAAGATATTTGGATCCATAGATTAAAATGACTCACCCTGTATATAAGCATAAAGTATCGTACTGAGATAAAATTGTTTTTAATTATTTTATTGCACTAATGTCAGTTACAACAGAAAATAAATATATTAGTTATTGTATACATTCAAAATAAAGCGCCACAAACGTCACATCCGCTTTTACACCAAGATGGCGACAGTTCTGCCGATCTCTCCTTTAAGGATCTCTAGGCAGCGCTGGCCCTAGCGGCTGCCGCGCGCGCGGTAAGGAGAGGAAAGGAGGCGTATACCATAAGAATCGGTCAAAAAAATGAAATAATTCCGAGCACTGTTCTAAACAGACAGAAATACGCGTTCTGATCGAAAGAAAATAGCAGGATCAAAAATTCACTAGAATTCTGGTGAGAAATTCGATCCGTCATTCCGATACGTGCTCAATGAGACTGCACTCTAATGGCTGGTTTATGCTTCGGTCTTAATCTTATGGCTGGTTTATGCTTCGGTCTTAATCTTAATCTTAGTCTTAGTCTTAACTTAATCTTAAGGACTCGTTTATGCTTCCCTGGAAATTCGGACTACGCATGTGCAAATGTAACAAAACCTAACCATTAATTTATTTTTATAATTTGGATTTTTTTATTCCAAAC